AAAAAAAAGTCACAACTTATATTGTAGGAAAATGACAAACTGTCTTACCATATTAAAAATCAAGGAGAAATGAGCAATAGAAAAATGGATATATATAGTTCTACACACTTCACACACACACATAAACACACAAAAATACACACACCACTGAAACCTATACATCTGCACATATACTACATAGGATACACACATAGAAGATGCACTCAACTGACTCAGTGACACAGATCCAACCACTCCCCCAACCCCCCAACAGTGCTGAGCCCACTTGGTCTTGAATCTTGTGTATTAAGTATCACAAGGAAATGCCTGTTTCCAAGAAAGGGCGGGCTGTGTGCACACTTGCCTGGGTACCCTGATGCTCCAGATAAAAAAACACACCGAGGACAACTGCCATGGGGAACCTTATTGAGAGAACCCCCAACTGGAACAGTGTGAGCAACAAAAAGAAAAAGATGAAATGCACCAAACACATTTCTTTGAGAAAGAATCTGCATCCACATGGATTGCAGGTATCATGTACAATGAGCAAGAAAGAGAGTGAGACAGGCTGGTCTTTACTGAAGAATGCCAGTAACTGGCAGAGCTAGAAAACCACCATTGCAGCCTGCGATGCATCTGTGATGGGGTGAAAGGGCACAGGAAGGCAATGCTCATTAGGTTCACAGTATCACACAAATACTACAAAGGAAGGTCATCCCGCTAAAATGGAGAGATTGGCTCGCCCATTTGCCTCACGAAGCCTGGCTGAGGGCTATCCTTCAGGTGAATTCTCAGGGAAGTTAGGGCTAAGTAGGCAGCTTCAGGAACCATGCTGGCAGGGACTTCAGAAAGCTAGAGGCTTCTGAGATAGGGCAGAGAAATCTAGAAGGGCTAATGAGGACAGTAATTCTAAGAGATGCTAACCAAAACATACCCAGAGATGAAACCCAAAAAGCCCAGAACTAAATAAACAAGAATAGTAACACTTGAGAATAAGAGCTCAGAAACTCTAAGAGGAGAAACTCTAAGAAAAGAAGGAGAAATGGGTACAAATAGCCACGAGGAGAAAAAGCCAGTCACAAAGTAGGATGATGAGATTTTAGAAGAGAGAAACAGCTTAGCTCTAAATATCCCCGGAAACAGACCCATAAGGGCTTCTACACCCCTCCCAGGTACAGCACGCCTGGCAGTCCTTGCTTTCTTTCTTTAAGTAAACTGTTCTTTACTTTTTTGATTAAGGCCTGCTTCCCTTATCTAAAAAGTCTGCAAATTCCTTTTTAAGACTTTGTGGGACAAGAACCTGGGTAATTCAAGGGCTAAATTAACAGTGTGCACAAGCTTTACCAACACCTGGGTGCTAAGTTCAATCACGAGAGATTAGTCACTACTTGGACTCATAAAAATTTCAAGGTTGGGCCTCCCTGGTGGTACAAGGCATTAAGTCACAGCACCATGAAGCTATCCATGAAGCTATCTACAGCATTAGTTCATCCCCAGGCAGGGAGGTGACCCACATAGCACAGCAGACCTCTCCTGTCTTGCCCGCTGCTTCCCTCAGCAGTGTATTTCCAGTAGATCAGTGTGCTGCTCCCCACTCTGTCTCTGGTGAATCCTCTCATCCCTGCATGTCTGGCCCCATTTCTTGTGTGCAAAATAAATAAATATTTAAAGGTCATGAAAAGAGGCAAAATGTGAGAAGGTGTTCTAGATTTTAAAGGACCACAAAAATGTGAGGATAAAATGTATTTGTGAACTTAGATGTAACTCTGAATAACAAACATCAGAAGCTCTAGAAGGCACTGGGGATAATCACTAGCCTGCAACTGTGTCCTGAGAGCAGGCGACATTCTGAGGTGACACTGGCAATTTAGTCCTGGGTGTGTTACTAAGCTGTGTGATCATTGAGATGGAATTTGAGATCTTTAGAGCTTGAGGGTCAGGATATGGAAAACTTTCTTTCTAATGGTTCCCCTTTCCCCTCCCATACCCCTTCCACTCACACCTGCCCGTGTGTGCACAGAGGCAGATGCAGCAAACATGCAAAATGCCAATAAATGGAAAGGTCCAGATGCAATGGCTGCAAATATTTATTTCTCATCTTTTCCTATTGCTCTGCTGTTTAAAATTTCTCACAATAAGAAATTGTGC